AATTAAGTAGATCACCTTTTACCATTTCCATGGGTTCACTTTTATTTACACATAGCTGGAGATAAGGTACATAATTTTGTCAATGTGATTATAAATGCTTTAAAGCAGGGAACGGATCCTGCCGGGTATCTTCAAGCAGTAACTAAACTCACAACCTGTGTAATCCCCTTTGAAACACTGGTTTCTCCTTACACAGAAAAATGTTATGTGCTGTTATCTGATTTACTGTGCTTCTTGTGCACTGGCATGCTCTTCACTTATTATAGTAGTTAGAAAAGCCTTACTCCAAAAACCTGTTTTTCCTTAAAAAAACACCCAACCCTTTATTCATAGTCCTCACTGTTTTGATAACAACTTTGAAAATATGAGCTGGACAGTGCAAAAAACTTCTGGTGAGTTTAAAGACCTCTTGAAACAATAGCACTAAGAGGTATGAAACGCTGCATACTTCTTAAGGGAGTGTTCTTAACTCCTAAAGGCAACTTCAAGGAACATAAAAGTAGGGGAAAAAATTAAACGTACCACCAAAATAAAAACACACAAAAGAGAGTCTTATGAGCCATACTAGTCATGGTTGCTATTGAAAGCAAGTGGTTAATTGTAAGCTCACTTTCTACTGACAGCTACTATTCTAAATTTCCAGTTGATACTGGCCACTCGGGTACCTCTGTTCTAATGGATAAATAACTTAGCTAAGGGCTTTTCAGATAATCTTTTTCTGGTTTCTGAAAGTTCACTTGCACTGCAAGATCCCCCAGGAATACATTCAGTTTCTGCTAAAAGGCCAGCCACACATGTTTCAAGCCGTATTTAAATCCCAGGTAAGCAATCCACAGACTGCAGACAGCCCTTTTTCAAGAGCAAACAATGTAAAAAATGGGACCTATTTTGTTCTGCTTTATTGAAACCAGAGACATCCCCAGATCAGAGGTATTTAAAAACATTTATTAGCGTTAATCATTGCAGGTTCAATAAAACACAAAAACTACATTTTAGGGAAAAAAAATATTATTAGGTATGATACAATTAATATGTAAATCAGAAGGTAAAGTATTAACAGATTGCAGCATCCCATACATGAAGCGAGTGGGTCCAGCCCAGTCAAAGCCCTTACATAAACAAAACAGAGAAAGAGTACTTAGGTGATTTTAAAATGACAATTTATCACTGACTCTGGTTTAAATAATTAAGGGTAGGATAGTAAAATATATCATCATTGTACTGAAAAGGTCTGATTATAGTCAGAGTGCTCACATGTATAATCTATCTAGTCACGCTTATTACCACATGACATGAAGGATTAGTAAAGACAAGGGATGACAAGTAATTTTTCTAGGTATTGATACAGACCCATGTTATATTGTAGCACTTCAGATAGACCTGCTGTACCACCAACAAAAACAATCAATTTTTTTTTTCTAAGTGTCACTTTATTAATTCCCAATTCCCAGATAATAATGGCCTTTTAGATTTCTCAGTAAGACAATTTTTTCTATAATAAACCATTTTCATGTATAAGAATGGCAAGTCAACAACTGTACCTATGTGTATCTCCACCTTCTTGCTACCCTTGATCTATAACTTTAAGTTTATAAAGGTGAAATGATCATTAACAAAAAAAATGTACTTACAGAATACAATGTGCAGTATATGAGAACCAGACATAGTGAAAAAACACTACATGTCATCATAACAATGTAAAACTGTACTTATATACACACACATATGCAGAGCATATATGAAAACTAGTTCCTTCATAATCTTGTTTCTAAACTAGTTCATGACAAGCCAGAAAAGCGAGTCACACACAACTGGACAGTCACAGTCTTGAGTCACGGTGCAAACAAGCTCCTTCAAACATCCCTGGCACTGCAGCTTGTGTCTCAGTCCTGATGCCGGCTCTCTCGAGAAAACCAGTCTTGGACAAATCCAGCACCAGCTGGCCAACCTATAACTGCAGTTATTATTTCTATTATTAGAGCAGATCAGCTACAGAGACAGGTGTTCCTGTACAGTAATTTACAGAATCATAGAATATCAGGTCGGAAGGGACCTCAAGGATCACCTGGTCCAACCTGTCTTGGCAAAACGACAGTGCAGACAAGATGGCCCAGCACCCTGTCCAGCTGAGTATTAGAAGTGTCCAATGTTGGGAAATCCACCACTTCCTGGGGAGATTATTCCAATGGCTGATTGTGAAAAATTTTCCTCGTGTCCACCACTCAGAATCTCCCCAGGAGTAACCTGAATTTGGCTTTTCAGCAGCCATTAACTACTGAGGGGAATTCCAGTTGCTGCTGAAACTCTGGACTCTGTTTGGGGGGTGGGTGGTGTGTGTGTTTGTATGTAATTTTTACTGGCTGTTTATGAAGAGTGGTGGTACTTTCCAAGCAACAAGCAACAGAAGGAAGCAGAAATCATTAATTTTACATTTGAAAATCACAATTTTAAAAACAAACCATTTCCCCATTTGAAGAGGCAGGTTAAAACTGCACTTTAGCTTTGATGAACAGCAGAGAGGCAGCATCACTGTCAAAGGCAAACCCTGTCTTCAAAAAAATGTGAGCTGCTCTGCACAGCGGTTATTTTTTCACCTGTGACTTCAGAATTCCCTATTGAACCTCACTGTAACCCAAATCTCAAGAATTTATACAACCACAATCCTTATTCATTTAAATCCTTTTATTGACTAAAAGCAGAGTGGGATTTAGATTTGACCCACCACATGCAAAAATATCTCTGAGGCTACTTAGCCAACATTTGAATTTTAAAATCTGCCAGAGATCCACTGTAACAACTTCCAATTTTAAAACAATTTAACATGTAATTCCTAAACCTGTTCTAAATCACATACAGCTCAATGGTAGCTGTGAGACCTTGTTTAGGACAATATCCCGCACAGATCAGCATCAATTGCCAGTTTTAGCATAAATCAGAGTATACAAGGTACTCACAGAATTGTCTTACAAAGCTTTCAGACATCAAGTAAGGTTTAATGTTTTGAGATGTCTCATTAAAAAATAGAAATATGCCACAGATATTTATGAAAGTTTAAGAATCAGTTATGCATAACATATGTGGAACTAAAATTTATGACACCTTTAAAAACCTGGGTTCAATCTCACCTTGTTTTCTTGGTAACAGGTCTAGCCTTTTACCGGGTTTTGTTTAGGAAGAAACAGATCTCTTGCAGCATTAGGTTACAGATCACATACATTTTATGAATCTGTGATATCAATAAGTTTAATCTTTCTTTAGTGCTGAAGGCCAGGTTAACCTCTTCCTCTAATAGCCAGGTGAAAGAGCCAGGCACAACTGGCAGACGTGCTTGGATGAGATGCAACATCCCCCGAAGGAGCCTGTCTCCCTCTCCAACTATCAACAATGTTGGTTGCTCAATTTTCACTTACATAACCCCAGATTATCCAGAAAATAGTTGCTGCAAGGAAGCAGCAACATGGATCATATATCAGCACATGTGACAACTGAAAGTTTACCCGAAATACCCTTTCCCATGGTAGGTGTCCAAGTCTGTGTATTACACAAGGGCATATTTTCAAGTATAAGTGCTTTCAGAAGAGTCAAAAATATCTGAGAAATTGATTATATGTGAAAAAACAATGCATTTTAGATTCTTAGATAAAATCCAGTGGGACATTTCCCACTTATAACTACTTCAAGCCCTCTGAAGACAAAGCAACTTTCCCATTGATGTCTTCTGGCTCCGTTTCAAGCCCTAATAATTAGCGCCACTTTATCAAAGCAATCTCATAACTAAGCAATAAGGTCTGTATTTTATGTATAGATACAGAAACCCAGCTCTAGCCTGCCTGTTCATGATTTACTGTGGAATGTTGTTTTCCCCTTTTGTTCGCCTTTCATAAGTCCCCCAACAAATGTGCAGTGAGGTTAATTTTCCTCATAAAAGAACAAATTACTGTTGTGGAATGCAGGCTAGGTTTTGGTTCCGAAGCCTGCATTTCTTACCCTACTTCTGATTTCCAACAAAATTGAGGAAGAACATAAATTTGGATTTTATTATCTCAAACACATTCATAAAAGATGGAAGTGGAGAACACGTATAGTTTTACATTATTTCTAGTTCATAACCACCTACTGGATTTTTCTTCTACACTGCACCAAGCTTCAAAGGTATCACACAGTGGGTCTTCCATACCACATCGCCACGCAAGAGAGAAGACTACTCCACAAATTCACAGAATTGCATTTGTAAAGAAACATTCTATTTTGTTTTATTGGATTCCAGCCTTTGACCCCGAATTATATTGTGCTCTTAAGCTGTTTTTGTACAGAAGTATCATTCTTCAAACTTGAAGACTTCTTGGAGCACAGCATTGAGACCATGAGGAGTGGGGCACTGTGGCACCCTCTCTTAGAAATCAAGGAGTTGGCATCTTTGAGCAGAGATAACTTTAGTCTGCAGCACAGATTGGGAGGAAACCTGGTAAACAGTGGAGATTAAGCTGGCATTTATGTTCTTTTTACGATTTCAGTAATTAACACAGCCTTGGAAAAGGAATCAATTCATGCAAAGCACATTGGCTGCATCTTCACTTCTTTCTGGAGCAGACTGGAACTGCATGGGGCCCAGCAGTATCCTTCCTGACAACCCCTTCTTTCACATACACAGCACCTCCTGACACAGATTTTGACTTCTAGCCTGGAAAAATTGCACTTACTCATCCTTTGGATCCATTTTTTTTTCTAGTTAGCAAATTCAGTCCATTTCTTGCTGATGTTTACTGAAAGTAACAAGATGAAGCTACAGATTTAGAAAAATATTGAAGCAGAGTCCAGCTAGAAAGATGGCAGAGAAACTGTAAGCCAAAATTCAGGTTTTAGGGGTTTTTTTGTCACCCTATTTTTACAGAGAAAACACTTAAAACATGCCAAGTCCACTTTGCAATGTAAGAGAAGTTTTTGCAGCAAATCTAAATTTCATATATAAAAGGATCTTTTTATTAAAAAAAAAAAAACAAAAAAAAACAGTCATTGGTTTAAACAGAGAATTGGAGTACTTTGACACTGTAATTTTGACAGGATATTAAAGAGGATTTTCCAGCTAGGTTTCTCAAAATCCCTTTGAAGTAAAGCTTTCTGCTTCTGGTCCTTGCTTTATTGCTCATGGGAAGTATCAAAATTACTGTTTTCAAGATGAAGAGCCATGTCACTGAGATCATGAAGTCCTTTCTCAGTGAAAAAAGTAAATGGTGCTGTTTTTCAAGTAAATCTAAAAAGATAAAGTTGGGTCAACAGCACCGCCTACCCGTCTGTGAAGTCTGCTTTCCAAGTTTGATTGCTCCATTGTTACTATTTTCATGAGGATCTAAGGGTGGAATTTGCCGACCTGAAACACATGAAGAGACAATGAATTAAATTTTCCTCATGTAGTAACAACACATGCAGGTAACAGAACAATTCAGACTGCATAAGAACTACATCTGTGAAACTTCACCAGAAAACAACTGTCTCCTGTGTACGTTTGAATCTTTTCCCTTGCATACTGATTATGAGAGATTTTCACATTTAAAAAATAATATATGAAATGTCTGTTGAGACTGCATGAAGTACACTGAAACAAAGTACACTGAAATTATGTTATCCATGTATTTAAAAAAAAAACCAACACAGTTATCTTACTGAGCACCTTACAACTAAGAAAGATAAAATTCTCGGCTTTCTCCTAATTCCACTGAAATGCAAATGGTGCTAGTTTAACAAGATCTTGCCTGTCCTAAATCTGCATGGAATTTAGTCCTTGTACACTGGAGTTTTACAAAGTCCTGTAACTAAACACAGGGCTGCCTATCCTTGATAAAGAAAATCAAATCTCTTCTTTTATTGAATCCCTCTCTCCTTTGAGGGGTACCCATGTCTTTCCAGCTGACAGCTTTAATTACTTAACACCAATCTCTTCCCCCCTGCCCCCAAACTCTTCTGACCTTTTAATCATCTTATGGGGTGATTATTTTAAGTGTTTGAAAGAAATGCAGCCATCACAGGAGAGCCAGAGATTTCTCCCAGGGGCAGAAGGCACTGCTCCAACTCCATCCCCTGTTTGCCCTTTCAGTACTACTTCATCTTTTGTCTAACTGACTTCCTACTCATGGACAACACACAATGGGCTTAATAATCAGAATCATAAATGGAAAACCAAGATCCTCCCAGGTCCAGTCTATCCTCTGTTTCTGGTATGGGCCTGGCTTTTCCATTAAACCCACTGTGTGAACTCTCCATCATTAACTTGGGAATTTACAGTCATGGTAAGGTACTTTCTCATTACCTTGTGGGTTTCCTGGAAATTTTTTCTAAAGTTGAATCTACTTTCTATGAATGACTCCTTGTTTTACTATTACCCACGTTAAATAACAAGAATTAAAATATTTAATAACATTTGTCTGCTATATGCCACTTTCAGATAACATAAAGTTCCTGTGAACAGCTCATCATAATCCAGGTGGATTTTTTAGTTTAGATTTCTCCATCCTATGGTGCATTTACACACAGCTCTCTCTTGCCAAATGTTCCATGAATTATGTACCTATGTTCAAGCCTGAGTCCTAGAAATTGCTTGAGGGACTGGTTGTGGGAGGGCGAGTTAAAAGCATTCAGGTAAAATCCAACCACAATTAAACACCAAAATTTAATCTGTAAAACTGTCCCTAAATTACCTTTGGTCAAACCTATTAAAATTTCACCTCTCTTAGATCTGAACAGGCATGTTATAAAACAAAAGTGTGACTTTCGAAGCAGGTAATCTTGGGTGTTTGTACAACTGAATAAGAGGGGGAAAATTCCTTACATTACTAAGCTAGCGATCCAAGAAACAGGTATCTTGAGGGCTGAAGCATGTATAAGCACTGACATTACAATGCTGCACTCTATTCAAGTCACTGAAATATCAACTTCATACCCTGCTTACATTCTGTTTGGGCTTCATGTTTGTAAGTGCCCTTCCAAAGTAAAATAAAAAGCAGAATAGGTGGTTATAGACACAGCTGTTACATGCATTAGTTCTGTTGACTTTGTTTGGAGACAAAGAAAATCCACTAATTCATAAAACTCTAGAGAATATAAAGAACGTAGTAGTACCTGTGACAGGTCTTTCAAGAAGGTAATGCTGTTGTTATAAGAGACCTGCAGAGAACTTCTGCATTAGATACCTACTACTTCCAAAGTGCTTTCAACTCAGTCCCAGCTAAAATAAAACCCAGTCGATCTGATTCAGAGCACAGTGTAGCTAAAAAAACCTGGAGTTTACAGACACAGTTTCTATAACATACCATAAAGCAAATACTCTCCAAACATTTGGTTCTCCTAACAGCAAGTTTGGAAGAGGAGAGCTTTAACGTGAAAATTAGATTAACTTTTATTTTAGAAGTCTGCATTAAACAATTGTTACCTCTTATTTGTTTTTCATTCAATGTTTTATATTTCTTAAGTTTCAAGTCTTTTCTACAGTACTCTTGATGTGTATGCAAACAAGTAGGCAAACTTCTCTTTGGAGAAAAAACACTGTAAGCTTCAAGGTCAGCAAGCACTTTGTCCAGTTCAGACCAGGACACAACATATGTGGTTAAGAATCACCTTGATTTATTTCATTTCTCAAAACAATAAAAAACACACAGATAACAACTATGAATAATAAAGAGAAAAAAATCTCTAGACATAATATTTGCTGAGTAGTTATTTTGGCCTTTGAACTTAAGTACTGTTTGTCATTAACTAGTCGTGTTTTCTGCTGTTTGGATACCACACCCCCACCCCTGAATTCAATACAAGGAAATAAGCCTTTGAACAGTCTAAACTTTTTTCAAGTTTGAAAATTTTTTTTTTTAGTAGGTGAGTTTTCTCTCACTTATAATTCTCTTATTACCAAATTTATTAAACCATCAAGTTAAATAATTTTAGTTTTAGTAACAAGACTTATCCTTGACCAAGCAGCTTTTACCATGTGATGTGCAGCTGACAGAAGTAACTCTTGGAGCATAAACTCAGTCTAACACCTGAGAACCAGCTCCACAGCAAATGCTACAGCCATTTTTCACCAAGGGTCAGGCAAAGTGAATAAAAATAATGTCAGAAATCTGTCTGATTGTCTCTCCCTGGGCCTCCTTGACAGCTAGTCTCACAGCAGATACTGCAACAGAGAAAGGTTTAAGCAGCAGCAGAACTAAGGATGAGTGAAATACTGAGCCTGCACTTACACTTCCTGCTTCTAAACTAGCTCAAACACTTTTGGTACCTAAAAGCACTGTGACTACCTCATCATGTCATTCAGCTCTTGACAAATACAGCATCAATATTGCTGACACCAACTCAAATACAGCTAGCACTGTGTCAGGATCAACACAGGTTATAAACTGAATTAATTGTAGGAAGTATATACTCATTTAAAATGTATATCTCACTGGCATGTGTACTCTCTGTTCCAGAGCAATAAAAAAATATCCCTGTATTAGATAACCTACAGCACTGTTAGTTTATGCTGTTTCTTTCATGCAACTGATGTCAGCAAGGAGCAGGAGTGCTCTGACAGCCAGTCTTGCAATTCTCCTGCTGAAGAAATATAAAGATCAAGGCAACTCCTCTTCCAACCAAAGACTGCTCTGTAGAGACAGAGTCAGATCAAAAGGTCCATGAGAGACTGAACTCATCTGTTGCTTAACTTAAAGACAACAAACTAGACCACAAATAGAGTCTTCTCCCCATTCTGCAGAGCAGGACACAACTAGCCAGCTTGCCAAAGACCACCAACAGCACATCTTAGGATTCCAGATGAAACAGGCAATTGCACAAAGAAAACCAGATGCACATATATTTATCTAAGAACACTGTAGCTGAACTGGTGAAATGAGGAACTTAAGGATGTATTATTAGTCAGACAGTATATAAGTCCCATATGGCTCCCATTGCTGATATTTCTATGGAGTGTGGTCCATCAACTGCAATTTAAAAATTGCACATGTATTAACTAAATAACTGATTATTTGGTTTAATTTCACTAATGTTTAGACCATGTTTCACAGATTTTGTGGACACAACTGTTTGTAACCACGCACCTCTACACATTCATGCCGAGGTCTTGGTGTCCTCCATGATCTCATTCCAGTAAATACACCATGATGTGTAAAATAATAAGCATCACAAGAGACTGGTCAAATGTAGGATTACAGAAATTGTCATGGTTCTGAAGTGAACCACCCAGGTTAACAGGTGGCAAGCACTAAATCAATTGCATCTCCTTTCTGGCAAGTTTGAGTTGGGCTGAGGCAGTCCAAGATGAAGGTCAGAGTCTTCTCCAATGTTTGGCTGAGTTCCAACTCCTGCTATTGAATCTGGGATTTGTTAATGTAAAGAGATTAATCAGCACTCTGGGACTTGTGGTTCTGAGAGTGCCAGAGGCAAAGAGATTGGGAAATGGGAGGGTGGGACAAGGTGTAAACAAAATGGAAAGGGAGAAAAATGAAAACTGGAGCAGGGAAGCAACAGAGATGGCAGGGACTGGATGACAGCTCTGCAAGCAGAACTTGAAGAAAGGCAGGTGGGAATTGCTCTACTCAACTGGAAGCAGAATGCATCATCACAGTAATGAAATATGCTCTCTTCATTCTTTTTTGAATGTGATGCTCCAGTTAAAAGTTGTGACATCCATTAGCTCAGAAAAATCAGGTGTGGAGTTGAGCTTTTTGTTTGTTTTAAAACATGAAACAAGTTTCATCAGACCTGTACAAGACTGCTTGAAAAACTGGAAACAGCCTTAGAGCTGAGCATAAGAAAAAAAAACCAAACACAACAGATTACCATGCTGACAAAGGGACAAATACAGCAGTGCACTGAACATATACTTGTTTAGTGTGGGAACAGATGTGATGTGATCAACATGAGCTGGCACATCCAGATGATGAAATCAAAAGAAGCACAGTCCTACTATCTATCACAACTATAATTCTGCTGAGGGTAAGAGGTAAGACTTCACAGTGCTACATCGTGGCTTTCCGCACACTTCTCCCATCCGTTCTCTTCCTGAAAATCACGTACAACTTTTTTTTTTTTTTTAGGGGGCTGGAGGAAGGGGAGATTTTCATCAGTGCAGGATGCAAAATCCATTTCACTCTGTCCCAGAGCGGCAGCCTGACAACCGTTGCAACTAAGGCTCACCTGAGAAAAGGCAGAATTCTTCAAGTAGCGGTACAGCAGCTATACAATGGCCAGAACATCCTCGTAAAATTGCTAGCTGTATCACAGCAAGGTGATCCCCTTGAAAGAAGTGCTCTCTATAAAGCTCTATTAATAAAGCACAGCCATATGTGAAGGCATGGCAGAATGAAGCAAGCACATATTATC